TTTGACTCACAAACCAGCAACAAATTCAGTTAAAATCCAGTGTTTTCAACTTACTTTTGTTAAATATTAGTATTTCAAGTTTTTTTTTTTGTTTGTTTTTGTTTTTGTTTTTTTGTTTTTCGAGACAGGGTTTCTCTGTATAGCTTTGCGCCTTTCCTGGAACTCACTTGGTAGCCCAGGCTGGCCTCGAACTCACAGAGATCCGCCTGCCTCTGCCTCCCGAGTGCTGGGATTAAAGGCGTGCACCACCACCGCCCGGCTTTTTTTTTTTTTTTTTTCAAGTTTTTTTTAAACATGCATTTATCAACTATTTCTAAAACTTAGAGTACAGTAGTCTGGATTAACTGTTTTTTATTAAGTCCAACTACTATTTTTATGTGAAAAACAGTTTTTAGTAATAAGTATCTAATTGTGCAAAATACTTCCAAAATGTTTCTATCATTGCACATTTCCACCAGGGATGCAAGGGAGTTCCAGTCACTACCCATCTGTAAAAGCCTGAGTGTGAAATGCTCTTCATAGGCTCATATTCAGTATGCTCACTGTCGCTTGCTGCTCTGAAGTAGCTCTATGGTATCAAGGTGATGATCTCTGCCATAGAAGCAAATCAATATCGGCAGGCATTGGAAAATTGCGGCCCCTAAACCCTACCACTCTACCCTACCATGGTCTGCCATGATGGGTGGAGCTTCCTCCATATGCTTCCAATTCTACGTGCTCCAGCATGTCTTCCTGGCATTATGGACTGAGGTCCTATGGAGCCATGAGGTCAAATCCATCTTTTTGTTTTTAAATGGTTTTTGTCAGGTATCCTGGTCACAGTGATATGACATTAAGCAATACAATACTGATACTCAAGCTGGATATTTTCAGACGTTTGTGGGGGAGGGGGGGTTGGAGGAAGTGATATTGAAATAAGGACTTCATACATACTACCAAAGTACATTATGACTAAGCCAATCCAAACTTCTTTTTATTTATTTATTTATTTTTTTTATTTTAATATAACCTCACTGAGTTATTCAATCTGGTCTTAAACTCGTGTTGTAGCTCAGATAATACTTGAATTTTTCCATCCTCCTGTCTTAACCTTCTAAATCCCTGGGTTTATAGGACTGCATTAACAGGGCTGTTTTCTTTTTTTTATGTAATTCTCATAGTGGGATTGTGAAAGATTCACTTGCTTTAGAGTGAATTTCTCTAAGTTAATAATGATATTGAGCTGAGCAGTGGTGGCTTTAATCCCAGCACCTGGGAGGCAGAGGCAGGCAGATCTCTGAGTTAAAGTCAGTAGAGCATGTTCCAGGACAGCCCTGGCTACACCAAGAAACCTTGTCTCAAAAAAAGGGATAATAATGATATTGAACACTTTTTGGTAATTATCATCAATATGTAATGCCATATTTTCTGAAATATAAGTTCAAAACATCTTCCCACTTTAAACTTTTGTTACATTTATTTATTTAGAGCAGTGGTTCTTAACCTGTGGGTCATGACCCCTTTGGGGTCACATATCAGATATCCTGCACATCAGATTTTTACATTACAATTTATAATAGTAGCAAAGGTACAGTTATGAAATTGTAATGAAATAATTTTATGGTTGGGTGTCACCACAACATGAAGAATTATACTAAAATGTTGCAGCATTAGGAAGGTTGAAAACCACTGATTCAGTGTGTGTGTGTGTGTGTGTGTGTGTGTGTGTGTTTCTCTCTGTGTTGAGTCATGCTGGGAGTGTTACAGTGCCTGTTTGGAGGTCAGAGGATAATTTGCAGGTGTCTGATGTCTCATACTGTGTTGGTTCTAGAAATGGAAGTCAAGTCATTAGGTCTGGATTGGATAAAACAGGCTGATACCAACTGATCTGTCCTTCCTCCTATCTACCTCATAAAAGTTAAGTCATAGACATGCTTTTGATTAAAATGTTAATCTTTTGCTAGTTCAGATCCTCATCCACCATTACTGACTCTCTGTCACTTAGCAGTAACTTTTAAAATAAAACTCATATAGCAACAAGTTGTATAACATTTTTATTAATTCTATTTTATGCTTTAAAAAATCTGTTTATATATGTCTGTTAATATCTCCTTGTGATAAATAGTACAGCTGTGAAATTGTATAGCTCATAAATAAAATACTGGAAAGGTGTGTGGTGATATTTTATTTGTGCACCCCAATAAAGCTTATCTGGAGATCAGAGGAAAAAGCCAGCCACTATATTAAACATAGAATTCAGGCAATGGTAGCACACACCTTTAATTCTAGCATTTCAGAGGCAGAGATTTATCCAGATCTCAGTGAGTTCAGGCCACACTGGGAACAGAACCAGGCATGGTGGCATACACCTTTAATTTCCAGCACTAGTTAACCATGGAGGTCTGGAGGTTTGTACAGACAGACAGGAAGACACAGACCTTGGCAGAAAGAGGAAGTGATGTAGCTGGGCAGAGAGAGGAAGTGAGATGCCAGGGCACAGAAAGGATATAGGTGTGAGTATACAGGTAGTAGCTCTCTTTGGCTGAGGATTTCCTTGTGGTAAGAACTTGGCTGGCTTCTTTCTGCTTCTCTGATCTCCAGATAAGCTTTACTGGGGTACATAAATAAAATATCACCACAGATATGTACTTAAAAGTCATCTTTCACAAATGATAAATATGGCAAAACATTCTGAGAATCAATATCTCTAATGAATATTTTACCACTGGAATTCCAATTCTTACATGTGTGTACTTCAGTGATTGGAGAATGCTAGAATTTAGTAGGCAAGGAGAAAAGGAAAGAGAAATACTAGATGTCCATGTGGCACAGCTTTCATCAGACTGCTGTCAAAGAGATAACTAGATAAATACCTACTTGAATAACCATACAAAACAAAATTAAACAAGTTAACAAAACCACTGACATTTATTTGTTGAGTAGGCAAAATGAGTTTTCTTTTGCAGATAGTTTTTGGGGTGGGAGCAATTTTTCTAAGGAAGTACAATAGTTATATAATAAAAGTTTTAACACATTGAAGAAAGAAATTGAAAAATATAGCAGAGGATTGCAAGGCAACTCATGATAATGCATCGTTATAATTAATATTGTGAAAATTCTGGCCATCATACTGGAAACAGCATGATATTAGCATAAAACATATGTGTTAATCAATAGAATAGAATTGAGGACACACATGTAAGTCCATACTCCTGTGGTTATGTGATTTTTTGACAAAGGAGAAAAGAAAACATCTCCAGCAAATGGTACTGGTTAAGCTGGATAACAGTACACAGAGGAATGAAACTAGATTTTCATCTTTCACCCTGTACAAAACTTAAATTCAGCAGAAACAAAAGCCTTGACATAAAACTGTAGCTGAAGTTTTCCTGTGTCCCACCTGGCACAAACATAATACCTTAAACAGGAGTAGAAATATACATACAGTATAACAAAACTGTAAATTTGCATCAATAAACTAAAATCTGTACTAATGTAAAACATTTTAAACAATTTGCTCTTTAAAAGTAGGTTCAACAATCCACCCTTTTATCCTATCCTATATATATCCTATATTTCCATATCACATCCCCCTTTCTTCTTTTAGAAAGACATTGCCTGTGACCAATAATAATTTGTAACTAACAACCTAAACAAAGACAAACATCCATAATCCAATTTTTGGAAATGTGGGCATAATTTTCTAGGCTACTTCTTGCTCATAGAGGGCACTGGTAATCTTTATTTTATTTTATTTTATTTTATTTTATTTTACAATTCCATTCAGTTCTACATATCAGCCATGGGTTCCCCTATTCTCCCCCTCCCACACCCTCCCCTTACCCCCAGCCCACCTCCCATTCCCACCTCCTCCAGGGCAAATCCTCCCCTGAGGACTGCGATCAAGCCTGGTAGTCCAGGCAGGTCCAGTCCCTTCCTCCCAGACTGAGCCAGTGTTCCTGCATAAGCTCCAGGTTTCAAACAGCCAACTCATGCAGTGAGCACAGGACTTGGTCCCACTGCCTAATTGCCTCCCAAACTGACCAAGCCAATGAACTGTCTCACCTATTCAGAGGGTCTGATCTAGCTGGGGGCCCCTCAGCCTTTGGTTCATAGTTCATGTGTTTCCATTCATTTGGCTATTTTTTTTTCAATAACTGAGTAAAATCGAAATTTATTATAAGCCACAGTCGTCCTAGGGACCTCCATGCTATATATATAGCCTCCATGGTTCTATGGGTTGTGGTCTGATTGTTCTTTATTTTATATCTAGAATCCACTTATGAGTGAGTACATACCATGACTGTCTTTCTGGGTTTGGATTAGCTCACCCAGGATGATTTTTTCTAGTTCCATCCATTTGCCTGCAAATTTCATGCTTTCATTGTTTTTCTCTGCTGAGTAGTACTCCATTGTGTATATGTACCACATTTTTTTCATCCATTCTTCCATTGATGGGCATCTAGGTTGTTTCCAGATTCTGGCTATTACAAACAGGCACTGGTAATCTTATGAGAACACAAAATTTTACGATTATTGTCAAGTTGTGACTGGAATAGTCTATAAGGCTATATTCTCTGAGCCAGTTACCCTGAGGTTGATTTTGGATGTTGGATGATCTGAGGCCATGATGTCATTGGAGACCTTTCATGGGGTCTTGGTTGGTCAAACCATATTGTTGGCAGCAGTAAGTTTGCTGCCTTAATTTTAAATGCCTCCCCCTTTTTTTCCTGTCCCAGTTAAGATGTTTGTGTGAAAAATGTGCAGTTGGGTACTGGAGGGTGCTGGGGATCAGTTCCCCTGTGGTTTATCCTGTTTGGAAAAACCTTGCCTCCAGATACAGAGTAACCATTCCTTGACCCCTGCTGTTAGAGGGGTATATAAGCCCATGTTAGTCCGAATAAAGAGAGCTGCTTCCCTGACGAACCAAAACTGGATGTCTAGAGTGTTGTTTTACCTCAGTATCCCTTGCCAGATTTCGTGCTCCAGCTGCGTGGGTCGCAGTAAGTGGAGGTTCCATGGAGACCTGGAAAGAGGGGTAAGCTAACGAGGCTCACCCTAAAAGGAGGGGTGGAGGACTGAAACATTGGTATGTACCATGGGTAATTCTACTGCAAAAGCTCAGTTGGCCACTGAGTTAAGGGAATTAACAGGAATTAAGTTAAGTAAGTAAGGAACAGGAATTAAGTCTAGCACTGCACTCACATCTGTGGACACTATAGCTGAACCAAGTCCTTGGTTTCTGATGGGAGGAGGTTTGAATATTCCGGATTGGGAACAAAAGATGTTGCAAGAGAAGGGCACAGATAAATTTCCTACAGCTGCATTTTCTCTATGGAGACTTGTGAAAGATGCTCTTCTGACTGATAAAGTGAAAATGAAAGAGCAACTTTCAGAGTGCGAGCAAGCATTTGCTAACGCTCAGGAGGTGGAGATGAATGAATCTTTGAAAGGGGAAAAGGAAGAGGTCGAGGGCCCTATAAAGAGCGTATGAGGATATTTGTGAAAGATTTAATGAATGAGGAAGAAGACGACGATCTTGTCTCTGTCTCAGATTTAGTAGAGGAGGAAGAGCAGCTAGAAAAAGAGATAGAGGAACTACAACAGAAATTGCAAAAGTGAAAGCACAGTCAGCACCTTCTGCACCCCTATTGTCTCAACCCCTGCCAAGAAAATCCTCATTGGATAGGGTAGGAAAAAGAATCAGAGGACATATAGGCAAAAAAAATAAAAAGGGGGGGGGGAGGGGTGTGTGTGGCATGAAACATATCTAGTCATTGAAACTCAGAATCAAGCTAGACAGGTGGTCCGGGAGCATGTTCCTTTAACTTTAAAAGATGATGCCTCAGGGAGAAGCTGAGCCGTTATGGAGTTTAGTAAGAAATCCACCTGTGTTACTGCCTGTGAGTATTGATAGCCCTGTTTTTCCTGCTGTATTTTCTTCTAATTGGACAATTGGTACTGCTGCCAGCAATGTAAAACTCCAAGAAGGTTTTGTAAATATTACTTTGCAGTTAAAAAATGCTCTTTGTTTTGAGAAAAATAGTACAGCTGGCAAGAATAATACCAATGATATCTCCTTGAATCTGAAAGGCAGCTTTCATGATTGCCTAGTCCTGAGTAATACTTCTTTGGCAGACTTTGTAGGTAGTTCCAGCATGTCCCATGCTGTGGGTCTCCAAGTGCTCCTTTCCCTTTTGTTGTTTGGAATGGTGATGTGGGAGGGGAGGGACTACTAAACTATTTAGTAGTTCTAAATTGTAGCTTGAATAATTGCTGGAGTGCAAATTGGTCCCATGCAGTGATTGTGAGAATAACTGCATTTGCAGTGATGCCTCTGGAGAGTCCTTCTGATCAGTTTCTGCTGCAACTGAAGAGGACAAGAAGAGACTTTGGCATTACTGCCGCAATTGTTGCAGCTGTGGCTGCATCTGCTATTGCTGCTACAGTTGCTGGGCTTGCATTATCTGAGACTGTTCAACAGGTTGCCATTATTAACACATTATCTGAGAGGGTGGCTGGTGCCTTGGACATTCAGCAAACATTGAATGGACAATTACACTTTGGAATTCTGATGCTTAATTAGCAAGCAGCACTGTCACAAGAACAAATAGATATGTTGTGGATACACCAACATATGTTATGTGCTTATGGAATGTCAGAATGGAACATTTTTGACATGCCATTGTAAGGATTAACAAAACTAGAGTTGTTCCTGTAAATGAGCAGACTTGGTGGTCATTAATGCCTAAAGCTGCTGGGTGAATCACTGGATGGGCAGGGTCTGTTTCCCTCCCATTGGGTTATTTCTGCTATGCCGATGACAACGCCAGTTCACTCGACACTGACAGGTAACCAAGCAAGCCCTTCTGGCCATGTCACCCTCTGAATCTGCACAAGTATGGTTACAAATGTTGAACAGATAGTAGCCAGAGACGGGCAAATCCTGTGGTCCTCATGCAACCTAAGGCAGGGGGCATAAGGACAGCCCCCTATGTGACGGGTAAGTTTGGGGATTGCAACAGGTGACCTAAGGCAGGGCCTATCTGATCTTCCACAGGCTGTTCTAGCTGATGTGTTTGTTCCTTTTAAAAATAAAAAGGGAGGATATGTCAGCAGCAGTAAGTTTGCTGCCTTAATTTTAAATGCCTTTTTTCTTTGTCCTGTCCAAGTTTAAGTTGTTTGTGTGAAAAATGTGCAGTTGGGTTCAGGAGGGTGCTGGAGATCAGTTCCCCTGTGGTTTTTCCTGTTTGGAAACCAGTGTCCGGCTTGCCTTCGGATACAGAGTAACCATTCCTTGACCCCTGGAGTTAGAGGGGTATATAAACTCATGTTGGTACGAATAAAGAGAGCTGCTTCCCTGATGAACTGAAACTGGGTGTCTAGAGTGCTGTTTAACCTCCGTGTCCCTTGCCAGATTTCGTGCTCCAGCTGTGCAGGTTGCAGCACTATCAGCCTGGAAGCAATCCATAGGTTCTCATCTTCTGTGGAATCAAAAGCAGAACCTCTTTTCCAAAATAATGTATTCTTAGACATAGATTTTGAAATCAAGATATCTTTAAAATATATATATATATTCATTTAACTCAACAGCTTTTATAATCAAATGTCTCTCTGCAGTTAAAAATCCCAAAGACAATATAATTCAGACTCTCTGTGTGATTTCCATCTTTACATGGCTTATTTTTTATATTACTTTTATTGTTTCTTTAAAGATTTTATTTTTTAAAATTATTTCTTTATATAACTGTCTATATTCATTTTCCTCTCTCTTCCAAGCCTGCATACATTTTTATACACACTGTAAACCATTTAAAGTCTTATTCCTTCTGCATCTGCCTTATTGTGAATCTATTGCTTTAAACTGCAGTGGCTAGTACTGAAGCAGAAGCCTTGGCTGCTGACTTTGCCCACCTCAGCTTTTCAACATGGCAGAACTATGTTTACTGCCAGCTCTGGGGGAACCATGCTCTCTGCTGACTCTGGGAGGTAGTAGGTCCATGCCTCCATCCAGCAGCATGTAGCCCAGAAACCTCTCTCTCTCTCTCTCTCTCTCTCTCTCTCTCTCTCTCTCTCTCTCTCTCTCTCTCT